CCCCCGACCTGGAGCCAAGCGCGCCCCCTTCATTTGTTCCCCTTCTTGAAGCTCATTTTCATGACGTGGAAAAGCCTGATCCAGGGCAACAACAGCACCACACACACACACACAGTCCACACCGGCCGCCCCGCAGCACACCGCACAACACACACCCGCAACACCTGGGAGGGAGCGAGCCCGCGCTTCCGCCCGCCGCCCCAAGCTCGCCGCTCCGCCGCTGGCCGCTGCCCGGAGAAGGCGGCGGCGGCGGCGCTGGAGCCTGCAGCAGCCCCTCTCCTCCCTCCTCCATTGAGTGTGCCAAACAGCAGCTCTGCATCCTAAAGAAGACCATTGAGGGGCTCATTGCATTCCCAGCACGTTTCAGGCTTGCTTCTTTTTTTTTTTTTTTCCTGCCTTTTTTTTTTTTCCCTTTTGCCTCAGCTTCAGCAGGAGTAGAGAGAGAGGGAGAGAGAGCCACAGAGAGGGAGAGGCAGAGAGAAACAGCAATCTTTAAACTCGAGCTTTTTTTTCCCCCCCCTTTCCCTCTTTTGCTTTTTTTCTATTGTAACGATGTGCTAAAATCTCTCCTGCAAACCGGTAAGTACAACCTTTCTGGATCCTTTTGTTTCCGCCTAGGGTCAAAGACACCCCCCTCTTCCAAAAAGAAGATATAATAATCCTCTTTATTTATTTTTTTATTTTTATTACAGCCCTTGCAGAAGAGAAAGAACTTAATATTTTGCAAAGGAGACAGAGAGACTGATACTGCAATATAGCTCTCATCTCTCTCCCTTCTCCCCAATTAGATGCTGGTTTTAATTGCAGAGGGTATTTCTCTTTTCGTGCTTTCAACCATCTCCTCTTTCCCACAGGGGAGGGTTTCATTTGCAAGTTGATCCTAAGGATTTCTGTTCCTCTGGCATTTCTCTCCCCTAAATGCATCTTTCTGCTCTTAAGTTTGTGGATGGGGGGCAAATTTTTCTAGTTCTTGCACGAGGAAGGCAAAAAGGACCTTTTCCATTGAGAGATTAAGACTAAAAGCAACGATCGCTCCGAATGATTCTAATGGGCATTTCAGGGATTCAAGGAAGGCTGCATCACCACCGTTATTATTACCATCCTTAGCGTTCCTCTGTGCCCATACATTTAAAATATCTGGTGAAAGGAAGGGTGAAACCATATGTTGAAGGAGCTGCATCTCATTAGTGCAGCATTATTTTCATCTGATTGGAGAAGAATGGTGTCTTCATTCGGGAACGTATATAGTAGGATAGCAAATTTATCGGCTGGTAAGTGTCAAGGTTTTTTTTTTTTTCTTCCACTTTCAGCTTTTTAACCGGGTCTCCTGCTTGGTCCTGGGGGCACAAAATGCCCTAATCCAAGGCAGGCTGAGCGTTTCAATCCTAGGTGCCTCTTTAGCTGTCACTTCCCTTTAGATCTGCTGATCGCATGGGCATGTGCTTTAGAAAGATTAATCATCTCTAAACGCTTTAATCAGCTAAAATGACTAATATGTGGTGTGTATTTATCTGATAATATACCAGTTGCATTAATTCACCGGCGCATTTGCGAGGGGAAGCTTCCCTTTCGAATCAGGGCTGTTAACCATTTACTCCGGTAAAGATACTGTGGGGATTTCTGAGGGGATCCGTTCTGCCAGGGACATCAGCAAACCCTGCACACTCCTCTGAACTTACGTGTGGAATATATTGAGCCGGGAGGGAGAGGGGTTCGAGGGTTGAGGCTCAATAACTTTGGGAGTTTGCATGGAGGAAGGATGGAGTGCGACACCGGAGAAATCTGCCCACTGGTGTTTTCCCCCCCCGTAGCCAATGCGGGCTGTGATGGCTACAAAGCACCCGAGTGTGAGATCTGTGGAGTTCCAAATGCTGGTCCTACGGTGGAAATCATGTAGAGATGCAACACGTCCATCCTGTGTGTGCTCGTGTTGCTGTGTGGGGCTGCATGTGCCGTCCTCTTTATAGGTGGCATTTACCACGGGGAGGGGGAGAAGGGAGGCTGCTATCGCGTGATGGAACCGTCTACCATCTCTTAAGTATAAATCAGGGCAAGGCTCGCCCATCCCACACCCCTGGAGTTGGTTGTGAACGTGTGCCCAACAATTGCTGAACTTTCCAAGAGCCTAACACGAGTCTGGCAGGTAGGGGCTTAAATAAAAGGAGCGGGGCAGAAGTACTGAAATCTGCATTTTTCTTCCCGTTGCAGTTTTGTAAACACCAACAAATGATGAAACCTTCCACGGCAGAGACACTTCATAAAGGAAGGATGTTGTGGATAATTCTTCTAAGCACAATTGCTCTAGCATGGACTACACCTATCCCCTTGATAGAGGACTCGGAGGAACTGGATGAGCCCTGCTTTGATCCATGTTACTGTGAAGTGAAGGAGAGCCTTTTCCATATACATTGTGACAACAAAGGATTTATAAATATTAGTCAGATAACAGAGTCGTGGTCGAGACCTTTTAAACTTTATCTGCAGAGGAATTCCATGAGGAAATTGTACACCAACAGTTTTCTTCACTTGAACAATGCTGTGTCTATTAACCTTGGGAACAATGCACTGCAGGACATTCAGACAGGGGCTTTTAATGGGCTCCGAGTTCTGAAGAGGTTGTATTTGCACGAAAACAAATTGGACATTTTCAGGAACGACACTTTCCTGGGTTTGGAAAGTCTGGAATATCTGCAGGCAGATTACAATGTCATTAAACGGATTGAAAGCGGGGCATTTCGAAACCTGAGTAAATTGAGGGTCCTTATCCTAAATGACAATCTCATCCCCATGCTTCCCACCAATTTATTTAAGTCTGTGTCCTTAACCCACTTGGACTTGCGCGGGAACCGGCTAAAAGTCCTTTCGTACCGCGGGATGTTGGACCACATTGGCAGGAGCCTGATGGAGATCCAGCTGGAGGAGAACCCGTGGAACTGTACGTGTGAGATCGTGCAGCTGAAGAGCTGGTTGGAGCGCATCCCCTACACTGCTCTGGTGGGGGACATCACCTGCGAGACCCCCTTCCACTTCCACGGGAAGGACCTGAGGGAGATCAAGAGAAGCAAGCTGTGTCCCATGCTGTCCGACTCCGAGGTGGAAGCCAGCCTGGGCATCCCTCAGCTGTCGTCCAGCAAGGAGAACGCGTGGCCTACGAAGCCTTCCTCCATGCTGTCCTCCTTCCATTTCACCGCCTCCTCTGTTGAGTACAAAACGTCCAACAAGCAGCCCAAGCCCACCAAGCAGCCCAGGGCGCCCCGGCCTCCCCCGACCCCCCGCGGCCTGTACCCCGGGCCCAACCAACCCCCCGTGGCTGCTTACCAGACCCGGCCCCCCATCCCCATCATCTGCCCCACCGGCTGCTCTTGTAGTTTGCACATCAACGACCTGGGCCTGACGGTCAACTGCAAGGAGCGAGGGTTCCACAACATCTCCGAGCTCCTGCCCAGGCCCTTGAACGCCAAGAAGTTGTACCTGAGCGGGAATTTGATCCAGAAAATCTACCGCTCCGATTTCTGGAATTTTTCCTCCTTGGATCTCTTACACCTGGGGAACAACCGGATCTCCTACGTGCAGGACGGGGCGTTCATCAACCTGCCCAACCTCAAGAGCCTGTACCTGAACGGGAACGACATCGAGCGGCTCACCCCGGGCATGTTCCGGGGCCTGCAGAGTTTGCATTACCTGTACTTCGAGTACAACCTGATCAGGGAAATCCAGCCGGCGGCCTTCAGCCTCATGCCCAACCTGAAGCTCCTCTTCCTCAACGACAACCTGCTCCGCACGCTGCCCACCGACGCCTTCGCCGGCACCTCCCTGG